CATTTACGTTATATAAGGAAAGAGACTCTATCTACAAGTCCAGCTAGACTAACTAACTAATGGCTATAGATACTCCATTCGTAGGTACTCCTCATAGATACTCCTGCAATAGACCCTTTGATTATTCTCGACTCGGAAGTAGTTTGAGCTCGTTTTCAAGCTGCCAACATGCAACAATGAGTATGCAACATGCAATTAGGTAAAATTGTTGCACTTTAAGTGGACAATTTCATATATATATATTATTTTGCTGTTGTTGTTGTCTTTAATGTGTGTCACTGGCAGCAATAATTTCTAGTTGTTGCAACAACACTTCACTCGGCTGCACCGAGTGTTGCGAAAAATAATTCAATTTCGTTTTTTTGTTTTCATTTTGTTTTTCTTGTTTTTATGCGTTGCATTTAAATAAAAATTAAATTAAATGCACACTTAAAACAACAATTGAAAGAACAATTTGCAATGGCAGCCAGCAAAGAGCACGAAACAACAGCAGCAACAACAACTACAACAAAATACCATTTTGAAGTTGCAAAATGCGTTGCACTCCACTCAAAAGTATGCAACATATATTTTACTGTTTGTTTTTTTTTTTCACTTTTTTTTTTTTATTTTGTTGCCGCCCCCCGTCGAGTGGGGGCGCTCAATTTGAGGTCAAACTGTGTTGCTTGGGGCTGGTCAACAGGAACAGCAACAACAGCGAGTAATAATGGCAGCACACACACACACACACATGCATACATACTGTGGCAACCACACTGCTGCCACATTTATGCACAGGAAGCATTTGTAATCCGCCTCCTGCTCTCGCTCTAGACTACACACCAAGTGGCGCCCCCTTTTACCGTAGCACACCCTATGCTCCACTGTGCTGCCCAGCCATTAACTACCTCCTGGCCATAAACATTTAGTGTGCGGATCCATCGTCGCCTGCTGCTGCTGCTCCTGCTCCTGCTGCTCCTGCTCCTGCTGCTCCTGCTCCTGCTGTTCCTGCTGCTGCTGGTCAAGTGTAGCGAAAATGCATTCAAGCCGCACTTCAAATGCTCTTCAATTAGTTCTGTCCTACTGCTGCAGGATAATAGACTGTATATATTTAAGTAAATTGTGCACTCCATGCTTAGCTTAAAGTTTTGCTTAGTTGAGGAACCTGAGCTGCAATTTAAGCTTGCTTGAGCTGATTACGCTGTGGGTGAGCTGGAGCAGAGGCGGCTTTGTTTTAGCTGAGGGGTAAATGAAAGTCATATACACATTTCTGAGATAGATGGATAATAATAATAAAAAAAAAATTTTATTAAACATTTTGAAGATCTTTTAATCTAATTTCCCTTATTGGCCTACCATAGCTGCTATATCAAATGAAATATTCAAATTTGAAATACTTTCAGCTATTTTCCGTAAAATTCCATGCAATATTTTACTATCATATATTCTCTTAGCCCATTCAAAACTTAGGTTCCCAAATTTCTGCATCCCTTTCTCTCTCCCTTTCTCTCTGTCTTTCTCTCTCTCTCTCTCTCTCTCTCTCTCTCTCTCTCTCTCTCTCTCTCTCTCTCTCTCTGTCTCAATCTAAATACTTCAACTTTATGAATCGCTGCCATTGAAATCTTTAGTTGTAGTTGTTGTTGTTAATAAAAATTCCTAAAATTGCACAAACAGAGCTCAGCGATGGGCTTAGTTCGTTAAGGTCAAATCCCTCGCTAAAAAATAAAAAATAAAAAAAAATGTACAATTAAAACTTTGTAAAGCCAGAGCGCAAAAAAAAAAAAAAAAAAAAAAATAGTCAAGTTTATCTATTTGGTTCATACGCTGCAAAGCATAAAGGAAAAATGTGTTTTATTTATGTTTTCTATATGTTTTTTGCGTCCCTTTTGCTGTCGTTGTTTTTGTTTTGTTGTGGCACGCCCCGTTGCGTGCGTTTGCACCACTGTGCGGTGGCTGCTTTGGCAGACTGTTTATGGTTTTCGGCTACAACTTAATTTAAATTGTTTAATTCTATTATTGTTGCTAATAAATCACAGGCACAGCTTGCGCTCAGCGCTGGCTGGCTTAGCGTTTGCTAAGCTGCCCTACCAACACACACACAGGCACACTTATCTTCCACACACACACACACACACACACACATATATATATATATATATATAGGGACAGAGAGAGAAGAGACAGAGCTCGCCTGCTGTTGTCGTTGATTTTGTTGTAAGCTGCTTTCGCACTCATTTAGAGCTCTGCAGCTCACTGTCTCTATGCTGCCCTCCCTCTCTCTCTCTCTCTCCAACTCTCTGCCTCTCCCTCTATCTGTATATACATATATAAATTGCGCTGATCTGCCCGACTTAGTCGGTTGGCAAGTTTCTCGTAAATTTGCAGCTAGATTTTTGGCTTGATTTGCAAATTTCGATTTGTTGCTGAAGTGAACCAGCATTGCGGGGGCCCTGAGTGGGGCATTGTGTTATATTATGGTCGAGTTTTTCGGTAGCCCCAATCGACATTTTTCCCGGGCTTA